CGCCGCGGCCCCGGACGGCTGTGCCAATCAAGACCGACGCGACTGCACGCGGCAGAGGCCGCAGCAGGAGGATTCTCAGCCGCCCGACGGGTGCGACGCTGACAAGGATTGCGAGTGGGCGGGGTGGCGGCGGGCGCCCGCCTGGCGGCGCCACTCTGCAGCGGAAGCTACTGAGGCGCGCGTGCAGGCCGCGACCGTTGGGCTCCAGCCCTCGGTAGTCGCGCTACCGGGGCACCTGCGGGCGTCTTATGCCGGCTGCGAGCTCGACGCCGACGCGCGCAGCGGCGGCGCGAGCCGCGGGCTGGAGTGGGCGCAGGAGCGGGCGCGGGCCAGGGCGCGCTCGCGATCGACCTCGCCCCTGCTCATGCGCGGCGGCGGCGGGGCCGGCGTCCTGTCCGGCGCCGTCACCGCCTCGGCTTCCCTTGAGGGAGCACTGGGTCGGGGTTCTGCTGCTGGCGGTGGCGCCCGGGGCAAGGCGCGGGGCACGTCGGCGGCGGGCGGAGGGGGCAGCATTCTGATGAGGCTCCAGGCGCTGCGCAGCCGCATGGGGTCGAGCGCCGGCGGCGGGGGCGGGGGCGTTGCGGCGGCGGCGGCGGCGGCGGCGGCGCGCGATGGCGCCGAGTGTGGCAAGGCGACGGTCGGCGGAGAGGGGCCGAGGGTCGCAGGGCGGGCGGCGGTGCTGGAGGAGGGGCTTTTGGGGTAGAGGGTGCAGGAGTGGGCGTGCAACCAAGTGGTTGAGGCTGCTGCCTTTATTGTGACGTGGGGGGTGTGCGGACTGCACAGGGTGAAGATGGTGCATGCACACCAAAGGTGCAGATGCGATAATGGCGTTGAATTGCAGAAGGGCAACATTGCATGTTGTTATGGTGGGGGACGAGGGGGGGGGGGAGCGACGCGTGCCGCACCACGGCGGCCGTGGTCCCAGCAGTGAATGTGTAATGCGTTTGACCTGGGCTCTAAACCGCATGCAAAATTGGAACAGCGTCTGGGTTCACATACAGGTAGTGCTGCGGCGCAAATGTGCTCTCTTGTGCTGGCAATCGCGGCAGGTGGGACGCCGTACTGCCAACCACAAGGGCCGCAGCACAGTCACCCCCGACCCCACCCGGCAGGCAGGTCGTTTGACTGGTTTATCTCCACGCCTGTTGGCAGTCATTGTGTTCGTACGATTGTTTAAAACGCGTGTGTTACCGCTGATAATGCTATAAATGAATAAAGCGAACTTCGGACCTCATCCCCCGCGCCGCTGGCGTCGTATCGGCCTGCACCGACAACTCGGATAATCGCGTTTGTTGTGCATCAATGAAACCGTCATGCGCCGTAGCCGGCCCCATGCAGGCCTGGTGCAGAAATCCGCCATGCGTAGCACCAGCGGCGGCGGCGCGACAGCGGCTCGGGCTGCGGCGGCGCCCACTAGCAGCCGTGGCGCCGCAGGGTGACGCCGCTGAGCGCAATTCGACAACCTCCACCAGCAGCAGCCCCAGCAGCAGCCACGGTCTGCGGGTCGTGTTGGTGCACCCCCAGATCCCCCAGAACACCGGCAACATCGCGCGCACTTGCGCCGCCACTGGCGTTGACCTGCACTTGGTGGGGCCGCTCGGATTTGAAATCGACGACAAGAAGCTGAAGAGGGCGGGCCTGGATTACTGGGAGCACGGTGAGCATCCAAATCCGCCCGTAGCCACTGTTTTTGGGGGGCCCCGGCAGCGCGCAGCAGCTGGACGCGGCAATTTGAGCTCCAAGGAAGCGTGAAAGCCGCCCGCGATGCCGCCGACGGGGACGCCGTCGCCGTCCCTGTCCCACGCGCGCGCAGTGCATGTCGCGACGCACCCTTCATGGGCTGAGTTTATGGAGGATTTTCGACAAGAGGCCGCCCCCAAGCGGCTGGTGGCATTCACTGTTTACGGCAGCGATTACTACGCAGGTGAGGCGCGCGTTCGCGCCGCCAGCACCGCTTCCTCGCCGCTTGCTTGGCGGCCTCTGCCTCTGCTGTTGCGCTGCATTGCTGGGGCGCAACAGGCGGGAGTTGCTGCCCAGCAGGTGTGGGCAAACCTGCGTCCTGTTGAGCCAGGCGTGACGTGGCAGTATTTGGTGCGTCTGGCCTGGGTGTTGCCCGTCATTCCTGTGCTAAGTTTGCACGGCGTATGTGGGCGCAAACCTGTGGGAGTTACTACGTGCAGTTTGAAAGGGCTTTTGGAGGCAGGTTGGTCTTACCCAAGTTTCAACCTCCTTGGATTGCCCAGGCCCTGAGTTCCAGTACCGCCCAGGCGACTGGCTGCTGTTTGGTGCTGAGACCACCGGGCTCCCGCCAGAGGCGCACGATGACATCATCGCATCGGGCGGGGCGTTGGTCAAGATCCCGATCAGCACGGACCACGTGCGATCCCTCAACCTAGCGGTGGGTCCCCCTCGGCCAGATCACGGATTGCCCATGTGCCTGCCTGCCTGCCTGCATGCATGCATGCAAGCATGGAGAGGGCCGCATGCGCATGCGTCAAGGCTTGGACATGCATGCTGCGGGCCGGACATGCGTTCACATGCGAAAACGTGGTTCAATCGGCGCCTGTGTGGGGTGGTGAAGTGTGCACGGTTTTGGCGAGCAGCCGGCGCACTGACTGAATGCTCGATTTTGCCCCTGACGACGCACGCACGCACACGCACTTGAGCGCCTGCCGAAGACCCCACCACACTCCCTTCCTGCCCCTTGAGTTTCCTGGCCGTCGCAACGAACTGTGCAGGTGTCTGCCGGCATTGGCGTGTTCGAGGCGCTGCGGCAGCTTGGCCCCCACCAGGTTTCTCCCAGGGACGACACTGGCCTCCCCCTGGCTGCAGTGCGGCCAACAGTCATGATGCGGCATAAGCAGCAGCAGCAGCAGCAGCAGCAGCAGCAGCAGCAGCAGCAGCAGCAGCAGCAGCAGCAGCAGCAGCAGAGTGCCAGCCCTCAAGGTTGATCTTGTTGCACAAACCAGTGCAAATGATTGTTTCATGTCAATGTGGGTGGGATGCGGCAAAGGACGGGGCACCGCCTGTGCCATCCTGCAGCTGAAGTTCTTGGGTGGTTGGAGACTCATCATCACATCAGATGCCTTGTCTCAGGATACGCATGCCTCATCTGTCGCTTGTGGCACAGATGTCGACATCCCAATGATCCAATAGCCACACTTGCGTCACAGGCGCCGCTTGCCGGCGTTGCAAACCCAAGGCAGGACGTGGCACTGTCAAGCAACACGATAAGTGGACAGAAGTGCAAAGCATGCATGTTGGTGTGAGGTGTAGGACAGGACAGGTCGCAGCCATGCACCATCCCGGCCTGCGCCAGTCCAGAGCACTCACTTGAGGCACAACAAGAACATCATCGCACATGGGTGACATGGTCGAAGTGCGCTCGTTACGAGGAGAGAGTGAATCTCAGATACACGATGTCCAACAAAACTTTCTGTGTTCAAAGCGACCAGATCTGTCGTCAGATCGAAGTCCCGCGCTTTGCAATGGACGCCCTCCATGACAAGCTGCAGGACTTTATTGTGCTTGTAAATGCAGACCAAGCACCGAAAGACGCCCTTATCAACGCGCTGCATGCATTCGGCGCGGCGTGCATCGCGGACCTCGCTGCGCCGGTCCCATGCACAGCGTGGCTGGCGCTGGCACACGCCCTGGGCGGCGGTGGCAAGGGTGGCGGCGACAAAAGCAGGCAGCCGGTGCAGCAGGCGCTGGCCTACCTCCTGTTGAAATCGCCGGCGCGCGTCGCGGCTATGGCAGAGTGCGATCCGCTGATGGCGGCCGCTGCACAGGGCCTGCTGGCCGCGCATGCCACACCCGTCGAGCAGGCAATGCTCTACCCCCACCCGTTCAGTTTGATATGCGCCCCGCAGGCCGCCGCCGCGGCGCTGCGCCACTGCGGCGGCGCCGCAGAGCTGGCGGCCGCGGCCGCGGCGTTCCTCCGCCGCGGCGCGACCGAGGCTGGCACGGAAAGGATACCTGCATGTGCCGCGCTCTGGCCGATTGCCGAGAGCTCAATGCTTGAGGTGCTGCAGTCCCTTGCATCAGTGAGCTCAGAAATGGCGTCGGCCATCTGTGGCCCCAGTGCGCAGGCGTTGATGTTGGAACCGCTCGCACGGTCGGGGCTCGCCGCGGCTTGCACCAGGCAGCGCGCGGCGGAGGTCGTGGCGGCGGTGGCGTCTTGGGAGAAGCTGCCGACAACCCTGACCGGGGGGGCGCCCGGCTTACCCAAAGCTCTAGCCAAAATGCTCGCGTCACCTGAAGCTACCGAAGAGGAGCGGCACGCCGCGGCGCACGCATTGCAACTGTTGGTGTGCCGCGAAGGTGGGCAGCCGCCAGGCCGCGGGCGTGGCACGCCCGCCGTGCTGCGTCCCAAGCGCCATGCCCTGCGCCGCGCCAAAGCTCAGAGCATGTCCTCGGTGAGGGACCTGCCGTGAACCGTTCTCCAGTGTAGTGGCATGCCAACCCTTTGCGGCCCGCGCGGCCCATTCTGGCGGCTCTGGCATGGTACACGGCTCTGGCCTCACCCCCCTCAACGCCGGGTGCAGGGAAGGAAAACCTGGAGTGCCCAGGCGCCATCCTCGACACGCCTGGTGCCGTCGCAGCACTCCTCCGAGCCACGACTCGCCGAGGCGCCACCCATGAGCAGCGCTGCTCCGCCTGCGTGCTGCTGGTGTTTGCTGCAAGTCTCTACCCAAGCCTCACCGCAGATATGGTTTTGGCTGAGCGAAACGCAGTCACTTCAGTACTGACTGCCATGTGGGCCTGCCAAGAGCATTCTTCCATCCAACGCAGCTGCCAAAAGCTTGTGAATCGCATGGATGAGCTACGCCCCCAAACCTTTGCCACCGCGATTTGCAAAGAGCCGGCCGCGGCAGCCTCGGCTGCGCGGCTGCTTGCAGGGGCCGGGTGCATCGGGGCGTCGCCAGCCCTGCGGGTGCTTGAGGTCCTGGCGGGCGACCCCGCCTCGCAAGCGGCAGCCGTGGGGGCGCTGGAGGCGGAGGTGGGCCGCGGCTCGCGGGTGCTCGAGACTCTGGCTTGGGCGCAAGGTGGCTTGCCCTTAGAAGCACACGGGAAAAGCGCCAATCAAGAGGAGCGCTGTGAAGGCGGCGCCAGCCGCGGCCGCAGCGGCAGCAGCGACACCAGCCGCAGCAGCGCCGGCGACAGCGACGAGCCCGACGGGAGCGAGGACGCCCCGGACCCCCCGACCCGCCGCGCCGCCGCCTGCGTCGCCGCGCTGCTGGCTGAGCACTCTGACTCCGCCCAGCTGTGCGCCGCGCCCGGCCTGCTGCGCGGCCTGTGCGGCCTGCTGCGCCCTGGGCCCAATGTGGAAGAGCTGCGGGCCTGCGGCGCCGCGGCGGCGGCGTTGGAGCATCTGGTTCGCCGCGGCTGCGGCGCAGCGGTTGGTCCTTTCCTACGCGGCGAGCGGCCGCAGCTGGCCGAGGCTGAGCCACGGCCTGGGGACTCCTCCGCGCGGCTGCCGTTGTCCGCACCGCAGCCGGCGCTGCTGCAGGGGCAGCAGCAGCAACCGCCGCAGCACCAGCAGCAGCAGCAGCAGCAGCAGCAGCTGGCGCCTGTAGCGACGGCCCGTGCCTGCGCGGCCTGCGGCAAGACTGAGCAGGCGGGCGTCACGAGGCTCCGGCAGTGCGCCGGCTGCCACGCCACCAGGTGGGCGGTGGCACGTCTGCATCCTGGTGCGTGCAGATGCACGACAAAATGCCCCTTTCAACCTCAGGCATCCCGCTTGGTTTTTCGCGCTTGGGCGGCGCTAGACCAGTTGTCTGAATGCCTCCAGGCTGTTGAATCACCCCACCTCGCACGTGTCGCCTCGCGACAGGTACTGCAGCACTGAGTGTGCGCGGCAGCACTGGAAGGCCGGCGGACACAGGGCAGAGTGCACCCGGCTGCAGCGAGAGCAGGCGCGGCAAGCGGCATGCGGCGCGGCGCCATGCGATGCCTGTCCTGGGACGCAGGGCCCTGCCGCGACAGCAAATGGCGTCCAGTAGCCGCACACCAACTGTGAGTACAATAGCAGCTTTGAAGCAAGGCTAGGTGAGAGGCCCGAGCAGTGGCGGCGGCGGCTCAAACCGCCGCATGCCACCCGCGCGGCATCTGGCGCCATTGCTGCAGCGTCCATTGTGTTATCAGACCTCGGATCCATGTTTTGCACGACATCATGGTCGGCTGCTAGATGCCGCTGGTGACCCCGAAGCCTGAATACTGGCATCGCAACCGCCAGTGACAATATTGATGGCATGTTCAGCACGATGCCTCATTGCCTCTACGTGCAGCGGGTTCCGGGGCCTTTTACCGTTACCTTTGTTGAATATTTGTCAGCAAAACAAACCCCAATAAATCAGCTCGGCTGCTGGACCAGGCCTGGCAGGCAGTGACAGGGAGGGCTGCGGTCGTATCCTCAACATTTGCCTGTGGCCCCATCGCCGCGCCGCTTCGCCAAGGCAACTGCCTGAGGCCATGCAGATGCTGTTCAAGTGCCAAATGAATAGCACAGTTTGACAGTGCTCTGCTGTCTCTACATACATGCAGCATACGCAATGCATGAGCAGCGAACGCCACGCGTTGACAGAGCCTGGGGGCCAGAAGCTGCTGCACACCGACATAGGTCGGGTGTGATCATTTGCTTCGCGGCTTGGTTGATGCGTATACTACCATTGTTCACTTTGACCCCTCGTAACCCGCTCATTCACGAGCTTGGATTTTGAAAAAGAAGGTGTCACCCGCAACCAAAATGAAGCGGGCCGGAGCAGGCCGGTCTCTGTTCACATGCATAGCAGGTATAGTGCTAGTGAGCATTCTTCAAGTATCCAACCTGGCAGCGGCAAGCCTTACGGCCGAGGACGCGCCCGCGGCAGCGCGCACACAGCTAGTACTGCGCAACGATGCAGCCGCCCCGGTCGGAGGGCTGGCCGGCTGCCTGCAGGCGATCCCCGGAAAGCCAGAATACCGCCTGCCGGGATCACCAGGCGAGTGCTTAGGCGACCTGCGCGGCGTACTGCTCAGCAGAGGCCAGGCAGATGGAGGGGGGCGGCTCGATCGATCGCGGCAGGGGCCGCCTCGCCCCCAGCCACGCTCACCCTGCATGTTCCGCCACCCCGGGCTCCAGCTCACGCCGTGCCGCACATATTTGGCACGAGCACCACGGGCTTGGCCGCCAGCAGCAGCGGCCGGCATTCAAAAAATGTGGCACGATTGCACCGGGCAGCTTGCCAAACCACCCTGTATCAACCAACTATACACCAACGACACATCAGCCTTGCTTCCTCATCTAAAATACAATAAACCTCGCTGATTTTGGGAATATAATATGCGTCATCAGACTACGAGCTGTATGCCAATGGCCTGCGCGTGATGGAGCCCAAGACCCCCGCGGCGGTGGTGTTCCCAGACACAGGGGCGCAAGTGCAGGCGGCGGTGCTGTGCGCCACGAAACACGGCGCCCCCCCCGTCCCCAGGAGCGGCGGGTGCGCCGCGGCCCAACGCGCCGCTCCGGCTCTACCCCTTGTCAGCCGCCGCTGCTGGAGGCGTCCCTGGGTTGTGCGGCCGCCGCTGCGGGACCGCGCCTGCGGCGCGCCGTGGGTTGTCGCTCGCCGCTCAGCCGCTCGACCGGGCCCGATGCACGCCGAACTGCGCACCAATACAAGCAATATGCCACTGCAGATCCCTGATGCGCCCGCCAGCTAGGTACCCGCGAGCGCTCGGCCATAGCGCCGCCCGTCTCCCCTTCTTCCCGCGCCGTGCTCGCGCCGCAGGTGCAGCTTCGAAAACCTCGGTACCGCAGACGGCGCCTTAGTCATCGACCTCTCCAACATGGCGGCGGTCCGCGTCGACCCAAAAGCAATGACCGTGACGGCGCAGGCGGGAATACGAATGGGCAACCTGTATTACGAGATCTTCCGGGCGGGCCGCGCCGCGGGCGGCCGCAACCTCACTTGCCTCGGCGGCACGTACCCCCAGGCGAGGCGGGCGCGGCGGCCCGGGTCAAAGTTGTTTGCAGACAGCCAGGCTTTGCAGCGGGCCTGCAAGCCCCTGGCATGATGCGTGGTCGCGCCGTTTGCCCGCAGAGGGACGCGCTGCTGGCGTCATGGCTCCGCAGAGGGACGCGCTGCTGGCGTCATGGCTTGAAGTGCTTGATCAGCAGCTCACCCCTAGGCTCTACATTTGATTCAAGCTGACGTGTCATGTCTTGACTCAACCCCGCAGATCGGCTTCGGCGGCATTCTCGCCGCGGGCGGCTACGGCGTGCTCAGCCGCAAGTACGGCCTTTTGTCAGACTCGTTAATATCAGCCACCGTGGTGGACGCCAAGGGCCGCCTGCTGGAAGCCAGCGAGAAGCTGAACCCAGACCTGCTGTTTGCGCTGAAGGGCGGCGGGGGCGGGACGTACGGCATTGTAGTCGAGGCGACTGTTAGACTTCTGGAGATCCCCGTGGTCACCCTGGCGCGGATCAAGTATGCAAACCTCGAAAAAGCGGTGCAGCTGTTCGACAGGTGCGCGGTTGGGTTGGCAGGCGGCGCGGGTGCCTGCATTATTCGTGCTTCACAGGGCATGAGCCAGCACAGGCGTGCGTGCGTGCGCGCACGCTGCCCCCCGTCGGCCCCGCTCCTCGGCCCCACCGGCCTCGCGCGCCCGAGCTTGGCAGGAACGCACGCGCCACTGCAACTAGCACAATCCCTCACATCCTGATTGCAGCCCGTCGCTCTCCACGAAACATCTGATTGCAGGTACCAGCGGTGGGCGCCGGACGCCCCCGCAGAGCTGACCTTCAAGTTCAATTTGAAGCCCGACAAAATTGACATCACCATGCAGGTTGGAGGGCGTGCCGCGGTGCGATGCGTGTGTGTATGTGTGTGTGGGCATGTGCGTGTGTGTGAGTCGGAGTGTGCATGTGTGTCGGCAAACGTGTGTGCGTGTGTAAGTGCAAGTTCGGTGTTGGGGGCAGGTTGGGTGGGTCCGTGAGTATGGGAGGGAGTGGGCTGCGAACAAAATTAAGAGTGAGGGTTGAAGAGTGAGCGTGGTGGGCTGCGGTGGTGGGAGGAGGGGCTCGGGGGCGGGCGGAAGCAGACGGCTGTGCGCCGAGGGGTGTGGGGAGAGGTTTGGGACGCAAGGCGTCTGCGGCATTGCGTTGAATGTAGGAAGGGCGCCCCTTTCTGCGCTTTCCTGCACCACTGGGCTGCCAACCGCCCGACTCGGCGCTTGCACAAGCATGCCTGTGAGGACGCTTGCATGAGTGGTCCTTCAGGAATGATGCTGATTATGAGACTGATTTCCAGGAACATCTCCCTTGAAGCCCCTTGTTCCACACATGATATTGCCTCGCACCCCACCTGCAGTACCTCGGGCCAAAGAAGGACCTGGATCGCCTGCTGAAAGACAAGTCGGGTCTCATCCTGCCAGGCTCGATCTACGAGGCAACACAATGCGACATCCAGGGCTCCCGCGGCTGGACGCCCGAGGCGTCAATCGTGCCGGCTGGGCCCAAAGGGGGCTGGAAGACGGTCAGCCACCTGCTGGTGCCGCCCTACTGCTCGCCGCCCGAGGAGACGCGCGTGCCGCAGCGGGTGCGCGGCACTGCGCGGCGCGGGGAGGGGGCGGCGCGAGTGGTGTGCGGCGCCGCCCGCCGGGACCTGTGCCGCTCGTCCTGCGCAGCTCGCCCGTGCCAGCCTCCCTGCGGGGGTGGGTCCCGGTTTGCACTGGCCTCCAACCGCCCGTCCGTGCGGGCCTCACAAAATACCCACTTCCGTCGGCGGTTTGGCCCGCAGGTGCGGCCCGGCGGGCTGCTGGCGTTCATGTCTGAGGCGGCGCAGTACCGCTCTGCGCTCTTCAAAACCCCGATCACGATCTCGGGCGTGGAGGCTTTGAAGGAGGCGTTCTCAGCACCCACCACCCGCGCATGGCGCCAGATGCTCTGCCGCGCCTTGGGGCCCGGCATAACAAAGGTGCCGCCCGCCGCATCAGCATTCGGGCACCGGGAAGCGCGGCTGATGTGCGAGTGGGGGGTGTCGTTTGGTATGCGGAAGACGGCGGCGCAGCAGCCGGCGGCAGTGACGGCGCCGATATGGGCGTGGTTTGAGCGGACAAGAGGGGTGGTGGCGGCTCTGAGCGAGGCTGGCGCAGAGTACAACGGATGGATCAACAGGTGTGCTGAATGTCGTCCATCTTTCCCGTTTCCCGGATGGGTGTTTTTTTGCTTCTGGAGCTGTTGGTGGGGGCCTGCCTCGACGCAGCAGCAGCTCCTGGGTTGTACGCAGTTCGACTCTTCCTGCGGCGAGCTTCAAGTCTTGGAACCCCTGTTTGCAACCCCAATTACGTCACCCCGCGGGCAGGTTCGACCGGGTCGAGAACTATTTCGGCACGAACTACCCGAGGCTGCAGCAGATCAAGAAAAAGTACGACCCCGATAACGTCTTCTTCAACAGCCTGTCGGTAAAACCAGCAAGGCGGTGACAGCCTCAGCCGCCGGGCCATGCTGCGGTTACGCCTTGGATTTATCAACCCTTGGACCCACTGCTTCAGCCCCGGCGGCTCGGCAGCGGCTTGGACGTCAAGCCAAGGCCCCCTCCTCCGCTGCAGCGCGACCAACCCCTTCCTGAGCGTCGGTTGCGTGAGCTAGCCTGCAGATTATAGTCCCCCCCCATGCTGGAGAGTTATGTGTCATTTCCGATGATCGTCTGCCCCCCGCGCTGCAAATGCGCGCTGGCTGCAGGTGCTTTTGGGTTCAACAACCCTCGCTGTAGAGCCATTGTGCTTTTAGGACGGCCAGGCCGCTGCACGTGTGTCCTCAGATCTTCCGGTGCTTGAATGCGCGCTTGCATGCTTCCGCTCCCATAATGAACCCAAATAGTGCTAACAGAGTCCTTCGCAGACTGAGCCTGGCGCAGCAGCGCCGCGTGGCCGCGCTGGGCTCGTGCGGCCTGCCGTGCATCCATGATGAGGCCGTGTAACCACCCGCCGCCCCGGTTGTGAGAGGGTGCCAATTTGCAGTGCCATGAGATACCATTGACAGACCCGGCTGTGGCAAATCTTCTTCACTTTGTTTGAGCAGCGCTGAGACAAGCAGGTGAAAACAGCCGTGAGGGACACAGCCTGAGGACGTGAAGCCGCCGCCTCCGCTCATTGTTTCGGGCGCGTGCAGCCAGAATGTTGATGTGGCGTGGGTCTTGAACACCTTTGGCCGGCGCGGTGTGGCCGTGAATGCGGCCGCGCACCGCCTTTCTTCCATTAAGCGCTCGGGGCCGGGGCGAGGGGAGGGTTCCGGGGGGGGGGGTTGCCATTGTGTCCGGCAACGGAGGGGCACAAGGAATTTCTGGGGGCCGCCCAAGCGCGTGCAAAGGTGTGGAGATGCCATCCCCTCCAGTGACCGCGGGCCGCGGGGGGTGCTCTGCAGGGCGTGCACTGCAGGGACGAGGCTTCTTGCTTGTTGGACCTTATGAGTCTGTGACAAGGACCATCTGAGGGAGGCCTCAGGAATATCTCGGGATTTTTCTTGAGCTGCTGGATCGCGAGTCAATGAAGTGTGAGGACTGAATGATGACCAGATGATGTCCACTAAAGCACTGCTGTATTTCCTTAGCAAGGGCAGCCACCGCGCGCAGAATAGCTGTTTTTAGCATTCCTTTGCACCTTTGCGCATTTACTTGCTTTACATTCAAAAATCGTATTTGCCGTGTGGTCATTGCATGCGCCAACGGGTGCAGAAGGATGCATGCATGGGGCGCAAACACCAACGTCGTGCGGGTGCGCCCAAGCGGATTCGGCTTACGGAGGAGCACGTGTGTGGGGGGGGGGGGACAATGTGGACCCATGCCGGAGGGGGGAAAGGATGGGTGATACATGCTTTGTACTCTTGATGCCACCCATAAGCTCGTCCAGGCTGCTGGACCCCTCAAATCCAAACGCCACCCCGACCCTCAGTGTTCCCAACCACCAGTGACGAACGAGTCGATTTCAGCTTGTTGCAGCCATATGCAGCGATTTTGTGAGCTTGTGGCTGACGAATGTTTGAGCAAAGGTTCCCAAAACAATCAGCCAGGTTGCTGGACAAAGCCCAGAAGGCCAGTGACAGGAGGTCCTGCTGTGTATCCTTCAGCGTTGCCTGGGGCCCGTCGCTGCGCTGCTTTGTGCCAAGGCAAATGCCTCACGAGGCTGTGCAGATGATGTGGAAGTGCAACATGGACAGCACAGCTTTGGCAGTGCGCTCGCGTCTCTTCCTATCCAGCATGCGCAACGCATGAGCAGTGAAACGCCACGCGCTGACAGAGCCTGGGGAAGCTGCTGCACGCCAACATGGATCGGGTGCTATCACCTGCTTTGTGGCTTGGTTGATGCATATCATCTTGACGTCCACTTGGACACCTCATGACCCGCTCATTGGCGAGCTGAAAGCGGTGTCACCCCCGCGACCAACGAAAATGAGGCGGGCCCAAGCAGCCGGGCATCTGTACACATGCATAGCAGGTCTAACGCTAGTAAGCTTGCTGCATGAGTCCTCCCTTGCGGCGGCGAGCCTCACAACACCAGACGCGCTAGCAGCATCGCGCACGCAGCGTGAACTGCGCAGCGCAGCAGCTACCCCGGACGGAGGGCTGGCGGGGTGCCTGCAGGCAATCCCCGGAAAACCAGAGTACCGCCTGCCGGGCTCACCAGGCGGGTGGCTGCCGCCGGCACGCGGGTGCTGCTCTGCAGGGCATACGCACGAGGAGGGGCGCAACTTGACAGCAGCAGGGGCCGCCTTCCGCCCGGCCTCGCTCACTCCGCCCACGTGGTTGACCAGCCTTGACCCCAGGACGCGCCACGCGCTGAACGCTTGGCGCAAGCGCCGCCAGCGCAGCCCGCCAGCTGCGGCTGGCTTCCGAAGCATGTGGCACAAACGCACCATGCGGCCACCATGGCGAATCGCTCACTACTGATTGTGCATCAACCACAACTCAGCCTTGCATCCCACGATAATTCACCTCGCTGATCTCGTGTATACATATTATCTGTGTCATCAGATTACGAGCTGTATGCCAACGGCCTGCGCGTGATGGAGCCCAAGACTCCGGCAGCGGTCGTGTTCCCAGACACAGCGGCGCAAGTGCAGGCGGCGGTGCTGTGCGCCACAAAGCACGGCGCCCACCCAGTCCCCAGGAGCGGCGGGTGCGCCGCGGCCC